CTGTCCTAAGGTCCCTTTCCAGTTCTGACGTTCTCTGTCCTAAGGTCTCTTTCCAGTTCTGACATTCTCTGTCCTAAGGTCCCTTTCCAGTTATGACATTCTTTGTTCTAAGGTCCCTTTCCAGTTCTGACATTCTCTGTTCTAAGGTCCCTTTCCAGTTCTGACGTTCTATGTTCTAAGGGTCCTCCCAGCTCTGATGTTCTCTGTTCTAAGGTTTATATTCTATGGCCCCTGCCAGCTATAACATTCTATGCTCTGCTGTTCCATGTTTTAAGAGCCCTGCTAGCAGTGAAAGTCGAGGATTCCGTGATGCTAAATGGGTGATATCAGCCCTTAGAAGAGGCAGGATTTCTGTAATATTGGTAGTCACTTACCAATAGCTGTGAGGAAAAGGCCAGCTTGGTCAATGGGCGTTTTGTTTTCCTCCGAATAATAGTTGACGGTGACCTGAGGATACACAGTGGGAGAAGGAAAAAAGGAAGAAGGGAGCTGATGACAATCCAGAACTTTGTGCAAACCTCCCACCTCCCACCTCTTAGTCCACCACATTTCCCCCTTCTGTGAAACTCTATGGGTTAATATGAGGACAGATTTTTTTCCCCTACTTTTAGGCTCTCGGTAAAGGCCCATGCTCAAGATAAAGTCACTTCAACCTTAAGATTCCCCTTCCTACTGCTAACCTGGTGGATGCCCCACCTCTCCCCCTGCTTCAAACCCAACCCTCCAGGTTCCTGTACCTTGTCACTGCTGACTTCTGTGCTAGGCTGGCTCATGCTGAGACGGAGAATGGTGCTGGGCGAGAGGGCCCATCGCTGCTTGCCATTGGCTGTGGCCTCCTCGGCCTGCCCATCAATCACTGCCTCTACCTGTACACCATCTGTGTGTTTCAGGCTGAAGGTCTTGGCATCAGCGGGGGCCGCACTGAGAAAGGGAAAAGGGTTGGGTCATGGAGAGGCTTCCACATGGTTCCAGGGGGGTGAAATCTTAGACTATTTTAAAAATCTATAATCTTAGAACTAGAATAAGCCTTGCACTATGTAAGGTCAGAGGTGGGAGGGCCTTGAGAATAGAGAAAGTCAGAACTGGTAGGTATCTTAGAACACAAAATGTCAGAGGTGGAAAGGTCCTTAGAAAATGGAATGTCAGAGCTGGGAGGGGCCTTAGAACATAGAATGTCAGAGCTGGGAGGGGCCTTAGGACACAGGATGTCAGAGCTGGGGAGGGCCCTTAGGACACAGAATGTCAGAGCTGGGAAGGACCATGAGACCTAAAATGTCAGAACTAGGAGAGATCTTAGAAAATGGAATGTCAGAGCTGGGAGGGGCCTTAGGACACAGAATGTCAGAGCTGGGAGGGCCCTTAGAACACAGGATGTCAGAGCTGGGAGGGGCCTTAGAACATAGAATGTCAGAGCTGGGAGGGCCCTTAGGACACAGGATGTCAGAGCTGGGAGGGCCCTTAGAACACTGGATGTCAGAGCTGGGAGGACCATTAGAACACAGAATGTCAGAGCTGGGAGGGCCCTTAGGACACAGAATGACAGAGCTGGGAGGGCCCTTAGAAATCATTGAATCCACTCATTTTATAGATGAGGAATCTGAAGTCCAGGATATGGAACTGGCTTACCAAAAGTCACACAGCCAATAAGCTTGCCTGAGGTCATTAAGAACAACATGGGCCAATATCAAGAAGGCAGCCCTGAGTCAAATTGTCTCCTCACTGGCCTAGCTCCACTGTCTGAAGTACCACCATTTACAATGCATTTCTTTTAGGCTGTCTCGGCCCCAGTGAGTACATGGGCACCAGGGAGGGGCGTCCCACTGTGCCGCTAATACCTTGGTGTGAATTGGTTCATCATATCCTTCTCAGATGACAGCTTGCTGAGGGATCTGGAAGAACCAAACCTGGGGAGAGTTGTCTAGGGAAGGGAGGGCCCTGCAGGAGAGGGAGGAGGGAGAGAAAGTGGGCAGTAGCCCCCAAAGACAAACTCCATTGATTTTATAGGCTTGCAGAAGGTCAAGCCCTGGGGCTGGGACTTGGGTTTTTTGTGTGCCTCATGAGGCTAAATTTGAACAAGAGATCACAGGGGGATTATGTGGGCTTCACTTGGGCTTTGTTAGCAAAACACCAAAATACCATCCCGGGTCTGTGGAAAGGGCACCGATCCACTAGCTTTAAAGGCAGAGGTAAGGCTGAGTGTCAAACAAAGGGGGTCACTGCTAAGTCACTGGGTGACCTTGGGTGGGTAACATTCCCTCCTAGAGGCTCATTTCTTCCTTTGTACTATAAGGACTGAACTACATCATCTCTGAAACCTCTTCCCCTCCCAGACTGATTTTTTTTTTTTCACTAGGTAAAAGAGGCCATTTTTTGCCTCATTTCTTACCTAGCCTTAATCACTGAATGCACATTGCCTCAGTCAAACTGAGAACTGGGAAAGACCTTAGCTTGAAAAGGCCAAGGTCTCCCACTGTGTCTGGGGCCATCTTCAATCATCCTGATCTGTATCTTGCCACTGGACCCAGATGGCTCCAGAGAAGAGAATAAGGCTGATGACGTTGCATAGCCCTGCCACACTTAAATCCAATTCACTTGCAAGTCATGGCATCACCTTCCTGATGTCATGGTCCACTTTGAGAACAAAGGACAAACAACAACCCAGCTCTTATACTCTATGTTCTAAGACCCTTCCCAGCTCCGATGTTCTCTGTTCTAAGACCCCTCCCAGCTTTGATATTCTGTATTCTGAGGTCCCTCCCAGCTCTGACATTCTGTGCTCTAAGGGGCCTCCCAGCTCTGATGTTCTATGATTTTGTTGTATCACTATATAGTTAGCATATTACTAATAGGAAATGCTCCCAGTATTTAGAGAGGAGTTTAGAAAAGAATGATCCTCTGAAACTGAGTAAGATCAGTCATCTATAGGCCCGATTGTCCCTAGAGATTCCTGAATGAGTTGCCAGAGAGACCAGGGTGTCTTTGAAATTCAATTCCTGGAGGCTAGGGTATCTGCTAGGGACCGGAGTTTTTCCTGAAAGTCCTTTAGAAAGATCCCAATTTAAAATGTATCTATTTTAAAAAAACTGTATAATACTAAGTTGTATTTAACAGGAAGACAGTAACATAGTCTGAGGAAAGGGAGGGGTAAGTGGAGTCTACAGGGAATCTAGTCAGTCAATAAATATTTATTAAGCATTTTAATAGGAGGGGGGATAGGAGTGGGGGCTAAGGAAAAGTTTAGGAAAAGGAAATCCAGGGAAGAATGAGTCAGTGTTTATCTGGTGCTCTATGGGGAGAGAAACACTATATATGAGAGATTCTAGCATCCTCATTACTGAAAACTTATGGCTTCCATTGCAATTTAATAAATTGGCAATCATGTTCATGAATAAGTCTGATAGAATCCTGAACTGTCAGAACTGGGAGGGACTTTACATCAGAGAATGCCCAAGATTGGAAGGACCTTAGAACAGACAGTATCAGAGATGGAAGGAGTCTCACAGATCACTTACCCCAGTCTCCTCATTTTTACCAGTGAGGAAACCGAGGTCTAATCAGTGGCAGATTCTAAGTAAAACTCAGATTTTCCAATTGCTGACTCAGGTTTCTTTTCCTATGAGTTTGGTTTGCATAAGACTGATTTTTCAAAGTCATTTCCTTTGGGTAAATATGATAAAATGCAAATTTCTGGACACATAAGGATAAGGACCAGATCCTGGACTTCAGGTGACCCCAAAGTACTAACACCCTGGGAGAAATCCACTAAGTTCCTGTTCATTTTCTCCCTCTTTCCTCTCTTTCCCCTTCCCTCACCTAGTCTAATAGATAAAAAGAAGAATTTGGAATCAGGGAGTTCTGGGTGTCAATTATTTCTTTGACATTTGCCTCCTGTGTCCATGGGTAAGTCACTTCACTTCTGAGTCTCAGTTTCCCTATCCGTAAAATGGGGATAATAATGCCTATAATGCCTACCTCACAGGGTCACTATAAGGTTAGTCTATTCAAGTGCCTTGTAAACTTTGAAGCATAGAAATTTCAGTTATCATCATTATTATTAATAATAAATGATACCATAATCCTAATCACTTATTCCACTGTCCCTCTACCCAGATAGGGCTTTGAGGGTTAATGTCTCAGCCCCACAAAAGAGGCCCACTCCCCACCCCCATCTCCCCAGGCACCAAGCTTGAGCAAACAGCTATTCTAGGAGCAGGCTCCAAATCCCAACAACAAAGGAGCCATTCTTCCTAGCCTGGGGGTTTCCCAGTAGGTACCATCAGTGACAAGGACAGATGCCCTTACTGAAAGGCTAAAAGTCTAGTCATGTTGCAAAGGTCTTTTTGCAAAGCCGGTATGGAAGGACCAAAGAATGTCATTGGTGGTGGGTAGAGAAGTGAAGGGGGTTGGGGGGAAGGGGGACAGTTGTGACTTTAAAAAATAGATCATGAAATAATGAAGAGTGAAATAAGCAGAACCAGGAGAACATTGTATACAGCAACAGCAATATTGTTTTAAGAATGACTTTGAGTAAATAAATTATTTTGACTATTATAAATTCCCAATTTAAATATAAAGGGCATATGAAGAAAGATGCTATCTATGCGCAGAAAAAGATCTGATATATAGAAGTATGTATAGAATAATTTTACATACATATTATATCTATACATACATACATATATGTGTGTGTATGTATGTGTGTGTGTGTATATATATATATATATATATATATATATACATATACACACACACCTATTTGGGTCTAATGATAGCCATCTCTAGGGTGGAGGGAGGGGAGGGAACAAAAAAAGAAATTTACATGCTAATTTTGTTGTATATTTGAAAGGAATAGCAAGTTGTGCATAGTAGATTTGCAGTTTCATATGCAATCGTCTTTTTTTTTATTGTATTGTTATAGAAATGCTTGTTTTATTCCATAAAATAAAAATAAAATTTAGAAAATAGAGCATAAAACAGGAGTTCTTAACTCCCCTCCACCTTTGGTAATCTGGTGACACTCTCATCACGCTCATATTTTTAAAGGCATCACATAAAATGCATAAGATGGCAAAGGAGTCCAATGATATTCAAATATAGCTATTGAAACATTAAAACACACACACAAGTTCACAGACCCTTGGTGTAAGAGAACAGAGGAAGACTAGGCGGTCTATGAGGTCTTGAAGTTGAATGGCATCCAGACCAGGCTGTGGGGGATAGGGGAGAAGAAGGAGGCCCAGTCTCTGTTCTCATGGATCTCCCAATCCAATGGAGACACAGTGTTTGCTCTCAGAAAACCTCTTGCCAGACAGAGTTAGGGAGCCTCTAACCCCCAGGAGCCCCTAACCTGTTTCTAAGTTAGGCAGTTGACATAATTTGATAAGTGTTAAGAGAATTCCTTGGATGGCCTGAGTCAGGAGGGGTCAAAGAAGGTTTCCCAGAGGGAGTTTTGAATAGGTTTTAGAAGGAAAAGATCAACAGGGGCCAATGACGCCCTGGTTCAGCTTGCTAGGCTATAGACTAAGAGTCTTGGGGTTTCAGTTGGGACACGGCAGTGAGCTACACAAAGTTCCATACAACTTCTTGCAGTCCTCCTCAGCCTTTTTGGGTTCCTTCTCACCTGAGAACCATAGTGCCTGACTTCCTAACACCCTCCCAAATAGGCAGGATTGGGGGTGGCAGATTGGGGCACCAGGTACCAGTCCTGGTTGGCATGGAACCCACTTCAATCACACCATCTGCCTTGGGTCTCATTAATGCCAACCTTTCCTGGCAGCTTAGGGAGGGAAGGGGAGATGCAGAAAAGTGCTCCTTGATCATCTGCCTAGTGTGAGGGCAAAGGGGCCCCACAGGCATCCTTGGAGGGGGCAGGAGCTGCTGGTGTTTACAAGGTGACAGCCCTTGCTTCCTACTTGTCTCTG